TTACTCATCCTGAAAGTGAGCCCTGCTGTGTACACAAGATCATTCCTTAGGGTGCAGAAAGAAAATTAAAATTTGTATTTTAATTTATATGTTATCTTCAAGATTAGAAATAGATCTTACCAATATGCAATATGGATGGACACCAGTATCTTCACTGGCTCTGTGTGTCACACAGTCTGACGTCAGGAAGGCAGGCAGGTGCCGAGGGCAGCCTTGGGATGCTTCATCCCTACACACTTTCCCCTCACTTGGTGCAGGGTCATTACTAAATTTACGGGGCCCAGTTAAGTGGAGGATTCACAGATGTTGCCTAGTTTTAACAAAACTAGCCCTCATAAACTGATTAGAGGCTTAAAAATCTTCCTACAAAGTAACCTTGAACTGAGCAGAAGTGGGCATCTAGAAAGTGGTGGAGCTGACAGTTCTATCCCCACACGAGCTCTTCATCAGACACGGAACAAGGTAAAAGCAATAACAGGCTCACCTGATTTGATGAGAAGTAACTAAAAAATACTGCAGATGTTCAAGAAGACTAGTTGGAAAATAGATTTACCTTTACTTTCACTGACAATGAACTTTGCCTCAGTGAATACCCTGCCTGGAGCTGGTAACCAGGCCTAGAAGGAGCCAGCACAGCCAGCAAGACATTTAAAAACTAAGTGTCAGCACACAAAAACAAACCCTGACATTTTTTAGCTAAACTCAGGTGATAATCCATACTTCAATAAATGTCATAAACTCAGTGATAAAGGAGTTAGATGCCTCTTTCCAGATTTCTTTCTGCATAGCTGAAGATGCAATAGGGAAGTAGGAGAGATATGTGGCACTTTGTGCAGCTACCATATACACATATGTTCCAAATTTCAGGACGTGCTATTTTATCTTACCTCCTTCTCCAGAGAACTAGAGTTGGCCCCAAATTTTCAACTGTGTGATTTTTTTAAGAAAAATAAAATGCTATTTCCTCAAATGAGTAAGAGAGTTTTCTTCAGTAGGTGAGATGAGTAATTTCATGCTGCTCTAAAAGGACCATGACTGATAGCAAATTTTTAAAACAGAAGAAAGACCCAGCAATCCTACTTCTGGGTACATAACTGGAAGCAGGGTCTCAAAGTGATATTTGCACACTCACGTTCCTAGCAGCATTATTCACAACAGCCAAGAGGGGGAAGCAACCCAAGTGTCCACTGATGGATGAATGGATAAAAAAAATGAGGTTGTACATACAATGGAATATTATTCAGGCTTTAGAAGGAAGGAAATCCCATCACATGCTACAATGTAGATGAACCTTGAGGACATTATGCCAAGTGAAATAAGCCAGTCACAAAAAGACAAATACTGTATGATTCCACTGATATGAGGTCTCTAGAGTAGTCAAACTCATAGAGACAAGGTAGAATGGTGGTTGTCAGGAGCTGGGGGAAGGGGGAAAGGGAGTCGTCTAATGGGTATAGCATTTCAGTGTTGCAAGATGAAAAAGTTCTGGAGATCTATTTCACAACCACGTGAATATACTAACTATTGAATTGCACGCTTAAAAATGGTTAAGACGGTAAATTCTATGCTGTTTTTTACCACAATTTTTTTAAAAAGAGAGACAAACCATCTCCTAAAACCTCCTGATTTCACTTCTAGAAACAAACTTACAGCTTATATTGAATAGTGCCGTGATGGCAAATCTCCTGGTACCTCTCCACCAGCACCTCAGCCGCTCGGCACACCCGCATCACACAGACTAATTAAATGATCCCCTGCCTCCTTCCCACTCTGACAGTGCACATCCTGGCTCGGGTCTCCTTCTCTCTGCCTCTCTCTGCCTCTCTCCCCCTCCCCTTTCCCTCCCCCTCCCCTTCCTCTCTCCCTCTCTCACTAGCTAGGAGGAAATATTATTATTTCCTATAAATAATAATTGGTGTTATCCCTTATAACCTTTAAAGAATTTTCACTTTTACTACCTCATTTAGTTTTCACACCAGCCCTGTGAGGTGGGTGTTCTTTCTACTTTACAAATCAAGACTCAGCAATATTAAATGTCTGTGTCAATCACCTCGCCAGTAAGTGGCAGAGCCCAGCTCCAAACCCCACACTTTCACAGCATAATTCTGCCCCTGACAGTGGTTCACACTGTAGTGTGAGCATAACACTCCCCTGAGTGTTCAATGTGTTAAGAATGTGGTTTCCTGGGCCCCACGTCCAGCGGTTCTGTTAGGGGTCTGGAATGGAGCTGGGAGTCTGCATTTCCCATGAGCTCCCCTCCAGGTGCTCCTGCAGCAGGGGACTTGTGGTCACACTTTGAGAAGCAGGCAGGCCTAGGAGACAGCCGCCTTCCTGACACAAGTGGGCACACGTGCACGAGGCTCTCTGCTCACTTACCCTGCCTGGAAGGGGTGACACAGTGACAGTGATCTTCTACAGGAACTGGCTGTACAAGCAGGGACTTCTCTGGAAGCAGGCAGAAAAGGGCAAGGAAGCAAAGCAGGAAGGACGGAGAGGAAAGTCTCCATGCCGTCCATTCCACAGAGAGTAAGACTGCTGGAGAGCACCCCACCAGCCCACTGGCTTGGACATTCTCATCTCTTAGCATTTGGCACATGGGCATTGGGTGCATGCAAAGGGGGCTGAATCTGCGCTGCTTCTGGAAGGTGGGAGAAGGACTGGAGTGGGGCTCTCTATGTTCAGACAGGGGTGCACGGGAGGGATGCACCTGGCCCAGAGCGAGCCACAGGCAAAGCCGGGCTCCAAGTGCAGGGTCTCCAGACGCCCAGGCCTGCGCCCCGGGCCCTGAGTCATGCGGCTTCCCCAGCCCAGAGCGGGAGCAGGAGCTGCCTTTCACAGGGCCCAGCAGGGCTGGTGGGGACGACAGGCTCTGCAGGAGATAGAATCCCAAGAACAAGCACACTTCCACACAAGAGAGCAAGCCCTCTTCTCACCGGGAGAATGCCACTGTGACTTACATTGCATGTTGAGGGCCATGCAGGTGACTGACAGAGGGAAAATAGAAACTGAATGGTTTGACTGTAAAGTCTTCCCTTTGCAAATATGCTACATTTACTCTGCAACTAGGAGATAAAATGAGATTTCTGTGGGAAGCCTGTGCTGCACTTTTTGGTGGCCTTAAAAAAACAGACAAATTTGTGCTAAAGATAAAAAATTAATCATATTCCATTAAGCTAACTCTTATGACTACCAAAGAGATAGACCTTCCTTGAGACAGGGTGTGAAGTTTGACATCAGCCGGGACTTTTGAAAGAATTCTAGAAGCTGAGACTTGGGGCTGCCCAACCTTGAGGCATCCTTCTGTGAGGGGAGCCTCTCCGTGGAAAGAGAACATGACATCACCATTCAATTCAGAAGACACGGGAGCTAATTCGCCAGACCGCATTTCTCTGGCATGAGAGGGTTATGCCGGGTAACGGGCTTCTAGAAGATCGCCCGGAGCTGTCTCGGTGCCTCAATCAAGTCCTGCCTGGGATGATGCACTAGGCACCAGCACACACTCTAACGCTACCCCACTGGCTTCTTGGATCTCTTATCTGAATGCATAGCACTATAATTTACCCATTGTCCAAGCCAGAAACCTGGGACTCATGCTTGACTTTTCCCAACCTATCTCCTCCCGCCAACCAAATGGCCTACCGCCTGGTCTCCCTCCTTCTAGTCTTGACTCTTCCAGTCTATTTTCTGTGCTATTTACAAATGACCTTTCCTTCTCTATGACCTTCAGAAGCCCAAACCCTAACATTAAAACCTGAACTGTACATTTAGCCCAACATCCTTAACAACACGGCTCATGTCTGCCACTCCAATTCCATCTCTCACCATGTCCCCCAAATCTCCTAAACACCAAACATCTTGAACTACTCTAAATTCCTGGATTGCTCCATGTTTCATGACACCTCTGGGCTTTTTGTATTTACTGCTCCCCTGCTGAAATACCCTGTGTCCTGCTGCCCACTTAGTAAACCACTCGTCTTTAAGTCAGATGTCGTCTGTTCTGGGAAGCCTTCTCCACTCACTAGAATCTTCTGTCTCTCAGAAAGCTCCTCCCAAGCTGAGGCAGCTGCCCCTCTTATGCACTTCCATAGTACCCAGATGTGCCCCTGCCTGAACTGCGGCTGCTGACTGATCACAGGCCTCCCTCACTGAACTATGACCTCGATTACTTAAGACGGATTCACCTCGCTACTCCAGTTCCTCGCACATTATGTAATGATACTCAGTACATGTTTCATGAATGAAGGAACAGTGACAGTCTCTTGAGGAACAGCCTCCTCTCTTGGGGTTCAAGACTGCATGCCTAGGAGGAAGACTCACAAGCAACATGAAATGTTTGTACTTATGTACACACATGTAGTGGGGAAGCATCTTTAAATAGAGATCAGTGTGTGCACGTGTGTGTGTGTGCACGTGCATGTGTATGGAAGAACACCCAGGTGATGGAAGGGTCTTCATTCCTTTACCTTATTTTCCCCTTTGCCTGTAAACCCCTGTGTCTTTTTCCACTGGGACTCCTTGTGCTCAGATAACTTTATTCTGCTCTGTAAGCAGCTGCACCTCCTGCATGCCATAACATTTCACAAAATTCTTACTTGATATTCAGGACAATATTCCCATGACAGGTATTCTAAACAGGTAAGAATTCTAAAGACCAGAAAAGAATGCCACTTCCTCACATCATCGGTTTTCATTTAGTCTTCTCTTCTCTAGATTCAATCATCTCAACCTCTTTAGCTATTTCATCAAGGTAACATGCTGAGCCAGCACATTCAAATGTTTATAGTATGTTATTATAACTGTCACTCATAAGGAATTAATTATTAATATTCATTTCAATAACTCTTCTCCCACATTCAGATTGCTGAAGTGCCTGATATTTAGTAAAGAAGCTTTCATTACAGTGCTACTCATTTTCAATTTGTGATCATTCTGCCTCCTCTCAAGATCTTTATATGTCAAACCTTGGGTCATTCGAGCCATTCTTCATTTTGTCTGCTTAATTAATTTGAAAGGAACCTGGGTTTTATTATAGGAAATTAACAACAATCCATGGATAATGTTAAAATATTTTAAGAACAGTTTCAAAATAATTAGCAATGTGTCATTTCATAAGGATAGATATACTAAATAAATTTGTTTTAAATTGTTATGATCATCTTTAAAAAACAAAATATATTGAAATAGCTCCCAAAGCATTAGTTATCATATGTAGAAATTATAAAATGTGAAATTAACAAGGACAATTTTTTAAATATCCTTTCAATTGGAAATTAAGTCTTTAAAGTGTTTAAGTCTCATCTGTCACCATCATTGTTACGTAGTCCTTGTAATGAACTGAATTCGATTCTGGATCAACTGCAGCAGACAACATTTCTTCCATTTCCTCCTGAGAAAAAGGCTCACCTGGGAGGGACAAGAAGGGAAATCCATCATTTGCGATCCTCTGTGTTTTCCTTTCTCCTTCCACTAGCCCGCTTAATCGCCGTGGAGCCCCACATGCCCCCACTGTGTTGCCAGTTACTCTCCCTGGGCTGCAGAGCCAGCATGTCCCGACCTTCCGGAGGGTCACAGAGCACGCTGCTGTGCCCTGGCAGATCCTGCACTTATTCTACTTGCACACATCGTAGCCCAAGCAACCTACAGAATCGATTATTTCAGCCCAAACGCTAGAAGACAAAGACATCATGAGTAAGGTTGTTTATTTATTTAAATTAAAACCATTGAAGTTGTCAAAGAATTAACCTGAGGTCCCAGTTTTATAGGGAGTCTCATCATTATATTTCATAAGGGTATGAAGACAGGATTAAATGGTTGCTGTGCAAAATCGCTGAAGAGCAGATCACAGAGACTTGAAACTGTATTGATTACATCTCTGAATATTGCCTAACCAGGTCTGGTCAGCTTAGTGATGCCAGCTGAACCCAGTGACAGATGCCATTCATCAACCATTTCAAAACAGTTCCCTTTGTTATAGTTTGGCCCAGTGTTGCTGTCAAATGAAAACAAAAGTTGGATAGAAAAGCTGTGGGCTTTAGTTGGATTCATATAACAGCTGAAGGCCTCTTGGATATTGGGCTCACCAAGATGAAAAGCAAACTGAGGAAGTGTTTACATCAACTATTGAAGTAAAACTTTGTCCTGATTAAACAAAATACAGAGACATCCACACCGCCCCCCCTCCCCTTAAAGAGCCTTATCCCAGCAGGTAAGTTACCAAGGCCTGAGGACACCGCCTTTCTGAGCTGAAGTCACCTCTCTACAAACAATGCTTTCTGAGGTGGAATTCAGTTAATAATACAGAAATCATTCAAGTGAAGATTTTGATAACAATGACAATAGTATTATCAAACAAGGGGAATGTGCCACGATCTTCTGAAATCATGCTTACATCCTAATAAAAGAAAGACTGCTAAAATACCCAGACAGACAAATTCTGAATCTTTCCTATACCTGATGGTTAAACACTAAATCCTCTGCTGATGAACTCTGACGGGCACCATGGAAGTCCTTCAAAGAACACTGATAACAAACACTGACGAGAACTACTGTGTGCCAGGCACTGATCCAAGTGCTTCACACATGTTAACTAAGGTAACCTCCCAACCACCTTGAGAGGGGTAAGCACTGCCACCCCCACTTACAGCTGAGGACACCAGCACACGAAGAGACAAGGCAGCCTGCCCCAGCCAGGAGTGGAAGAGCTGGATCTGAACGCCAGCATCCAGCTCAAGGTCCACAAACTCAACGACCACAGTACTGCTCAGAACAAGGCCTTGCTCACCGTACAATGCAGGAGGTGGTCCCACTGCTTCCTTGGGCAAGGAAGAGACATGCAGTGTTCGATTAAGGACGGGAGGAAAACAGCTTAATGATTAAAGCACAAGCTTTGGAGTCAGACGGCCTTGTTCCAATGCTAAGGTGTCTCATTAGCAACATCAGAAGAGTTGGCGGGGATGGGAAGGATCAGAGAAGGTCTTTGGGTAAGAAGAGGAACACCATTTCCCCCTAGACTGAGAAAAGATGAGAATGGGTTCAGATATAGATGAGGTGCTACAAATGGGAGCAACAAACTTAAAAGTATCAAATGGGACTACATCAAACTAAAAAGCTTTGGCACAGCAAAGGAAACCATCAACAAAGCAAAAAAACAACCTAACAATTGGGAGAAGATATTTGCAAACCATATATCAGATAACGGGTTAATATGCAAAATATACAAAGAACTAACACAGCTCAACACCAAAAACCCAACATCCAATTAAAAAATGGGCAAAAGATCTTAACACAGATTTCTCCAAAGAAGATATACGGATGGCCAACAGGCATATGAAAAGATGCTCAACATCATTAGCTATCAGGGAAATGCAAATCAAAACTACAGTGAGGTATCACCTCACACCTGTCAGAATGGCTATAATTAACAAGACAGGAAACAACAAATGTTGGAGAGGATGTGGAGAGAAGGAAAGCCTCGTACACTGCTGGTGGGAGTGCAAACTGGTGCAGCCACTATGGAAAGCAGCATGAAGTTCTACCTTCTTAAGAAACTGATTTTCTCTTTACGTCTCCCAGACCATCTTTCCAGGCTGGTCTGGCCCACACTGATTGTCTGATACGCACTTTCTTCTCTTGTCTTATATTGAAATTGTTTTATAAGTTCGTTTTTCCCCCCAATAAGACTATAACATCCTTGAGAAAAGGAGCAGATTTTCGTACCATTACCTCTCCCTGCACTTAGCACCCCTTGCCTACACACAGTAGGCACACCATACTAATGATATTGAACTGTTTTGGCCATTTTGACTAAATTCATGTTACCTAAGATAATCTAGGATTTACTTCACTTAAATTAATCCTTAGGATTAAGAGGCTGACGCTTTGAAAGTCCTTTCAGCAAAGTTAATCCTAAGAAAATTTAACAATGTCATAAGTTCTTGGGTGGCAGCTGTGACTGTCATACACCTTATTCTCATTCCCTGTATTCTCACCCAATGATGGATCAGTCCAAATAGTCCAACCAGATGTGCATGTAGACTTAGTCTTAGTCTTCCCTACTCAAAATTACTTGCACTTTGACTCTACCTCAAGTGATGAGCAACTGAATCACTCAGGACTCAATCTATGAACAAGCGAACTAAACAAAGGAGACAGAACTCTAACTTTGTGTGGGACGAGTGGAGGTGACCAGTAAGAGAATAGTTTCAAGAGAACGTCCACTAGGCTCCTGCCATTCAGGGAAACCAAACGTATACATCAGCCTAAGCAGAGAGAATTCCTAAAGGAAATATGTTGGCATACGTAGGTCTGCAGGTATTATGTACGTGTGTGTGTGTGTGTGTATAATTCCAGTTCAAATCAAATACATTTGGTCCAATTAGCATAAAGAACTAAAAATTCTTGCATGAATTTATATCCAGTTGAGGCTGTATTATCTGTAACTTCACCAACTGAAAAGCTCTTTAAAAGGATTTTTTATATACAATACAAATCTTCAGTCTAGGAACAGGCATTAATTTATGGTGATTGACAGCTCACCTTTTCCAGGTGGCAGACCTTTTTTTCTAGGAATACTCTACGTGAATGAGATGACTTCAGTTTATAGACGTATCATTACACTTTACAAAATCCTATATGGCAACATCCATCTCCCCTAACCTGCCCTCTTTCCTCTTACCCCTACAAAACAGAAACCACTCCAAAACCAAAATAATAGAAATAGTAAATAGCTCATTTTAACCAGAACTATTGCCTTTAAAGTATCCTCTAGAGTTTTTTTATAATTGTTAAATTATTAATCACTTAAATAAGTCACTGTCGTAAGTAGTAAATCGCTCTCACCTTCTTCAGTCATTTACTTGATCAGTTCTTCCTCAGCAAGAAACCCACATTTCACTGGATCTAAGACCTAGGGGAAAAGAAAAGGTAGATGTATTTTTTGTTTGGTGAATAAATCCTACATGATGAATTTTTCATATAAATATATATAAAATCTGGAGCTTACACACCTCAAAAGATTGAAGAAAGATATCTTCTAGAATTGGTCTCTAGCTAATTATGCAATAAAAGGAGTAAATGCCACGGTATTCAGCTCAGTCTCCACATAATAAATGATCACAAAAAACAAAAGCTGCTAACATACTAGGATAATAACACTTCCCTCACTGAAATCTTTTTGGATTTCTAGATATGAAAGTTGAAATCACTCTACACCCACAGGAAATAGGTAGTTTAAAATCACTGGCATGTTTGATGTTATTTATTAGCTTTTTTCACCATTATGGAAATCAATTTATCTGGGAACCAAACTTGTAGAATAAACCAACTATGTTAAGTCGATGCTACACTTTCTCTAGAAAAATAGAGGTAATTTCTACTTATCCTTGATAATTCAAAACAGAATAAGAATGTTGTTGGTTTATACTTTTTGTAGCTTATTTGTCCTTTAATTATACTTTGCTTATCAGATTAATACTAAAGTGTTTGATATTTCCAAGAACATACCAACTGGCCATTCAGAAGTGTAGTGAGAAGTTAGAAGGAAGCTACTCTAGGATAAATATACAAGGTGAGTATAATATATGAAGTGAAAACTCCAAGTGTTTGAAATTAAGGTCATTCTAATCATTACTTTACCTTAGCAATTGCACTGATTTTCTTACCTTCTTTCCAGCAGTACTTTGGTCATCACTGGAAGAAATTTTTCAAATCAAATGTATCCAGTGGGTTCTTCTTCCTCTACCTAAACGTTCAATAAAAAATAGCCATTTATTCATTCAACAAATGTATTGAGCAGCTACACTTTCCAAGCACTGCCCTGAGTGCTGGGGAGCTGACGATGAGCATATGTGGGCAGGGTCCTTGCTCACAGCATTTATATTCTGTAGTGGACACATATACTGATCTCTGATGTCTATGAAAGCATAACAAAGGAGCGGAGCGTGGGTCTACACAGCAGAGAAGAAAGGAGACTTATCTAGGCCAGGAGATCAGGAAAGGCAGTCATGAGGACATCACGCTGAGCTGATGTATAAAGGATGAAAAGAAGATAATTAGAAAAAGCAGGGGAGAGACTCCCAGGTAGAGGAAATTACAGGCACTAAGACCCTGCATCATGCAGTGAAGACCAGGAGGCTGGACATGTGGAACAAGGAGGGGAATGTCCAGTAGAAGATGATAATAACAAACATATGTGTGGAGCTTGTCAACTTTAAACTTCACCACTGGGTAATATGGGAATCACCACCATTGAGAATTTTCTCTTGTGCAGGTTCGATTCCCAAGGAAAGAGTCTTTCCATCTGCCTGGGAGACAGAAGCATCTGGCTGCCAGTCTAGACACGTTCTGTTTTGTGCTTTCCAGAATGGAAATCTCTGGACTCCTGCTGGCATGGAGAGAGGCAGTCACTCAGTGGGAAAAACTGAGAGGGGATTTAGGATTTAGCAAACTGGCTCTAGTTTTCAAACAGATTTTACCCTAGTGCTCCTAATTTTAGTTCCTACTCCCTTCACCCCAAGTTCCAGAAGTAACTGGTGCTTTTTGAGAACTCTTTACCCACTGCTGGCTTGGGTTCAGTTTTCTGGATCTACTAGATTACTGTTATTTATTCTCCCATCTGTCTTACAGCTTCCGAAATTTCATTGCTTTTGTGGATGTTGGGGGCAGGGGGAGCCAGATACAGGAGGTTACCAGAAACAGGAATAAGATTATTATGCAGATTTAAGTCCTTGCCTTTGGCATTGATTAAGAGTTTCTAGAGAGAAGGTCATCCCCTTTCTTCTTCCTGGTACAGAGAGGGAAGCACCTTTACAGATAGAGATTTCCTTTACAACGTAAATATCTCCTAACAAAAGGCAAGCAAGTTCCACCCCTCAGAGCCTCCTTCCCTGTCCCAGTTTATTAAAAGTAACCAGCCCAATAATCCTCATGCCAAAGAGACATCTTGGGGTGGCCAGTTCCAGGCCCCCACATTTCCAAACATCTTTGAGTTCTCCTTTGTAATTACTTTAAATTCTCCATAATTCCACTTAGGTTTGAACTTCAAAGGATGTAGATATTAAAGAAAGAATCATCTGGTAACCTGTACGTCAGTACAATTTTCATTACCCCTTCTCACAGTTGCTGGGTTTTGTGATATTCCAAACAGGCAGAGATTGTTGGGGGAAAGTTGCTCATTATAGAACATTAATTGGAGAGATGAATGCTGAGTGATTTTTTTAAATGAGATCTATTTCAAGAGAAACATCAGATTTCAAACTGATCTTCAGGAAGCAAAGGGCTGAAAGTTAGTAAGTATCTACACTAAAATTCAAGTAAATGACAACTAGAGAACTGCACACAGGCTTCCACTTTTTATAGAAGAATTTTAAAACATAGTTGAATCATTTCATTTTAAAGCAAATGTAAGAAATAGTTTCATTTCTGAAACTATTACAGAGCATTTAGCAATGTGACATTCGCCCCAGATGTGGACTATTATGGAGCTTGGAGTCTCTAAATGTACTGGATACATACAAATATCTGTGTGCGTTTTCCCCTTAATTATTTGGGAAACTTCATAAAGGGTGGTCACGTCCAAAGTTTTTTAAGCATCTTGCTAGAATTTAATTTGAATAAATTGTGTTGTGCAAGTACAGAAAAATATTTACAAAGCTTAGACAGCTCAGTGATCCCTAATGGTCTGTAACAATTCTAAGCATCTGTAATTTTCAAAGGTTGTATCCACGTACCTAAGAAAAGGGCAAAGGCAAAATAAAACGTTGGGGCCTGAGTATCTACTGTGGCCCTCTACCAAAATGCCCCAAACCCGTGGGGGCATTTTGGTAGAGGGCCACCTACAGAGCAAGCGAACCCCAATATGTATTGCATGCCCATCAAGTAAGAGCTGGTACCTCACAGGTATTCAATTTAATCCTCATGACAGCATTTTGATATTGTTGCATTCCTTCTGCAGATGTGGAACCAGGCTCTGAAAGATGCAGTGGCTTGCCAAAGGTCACACAGCTCTAAGTGCCAGCTATCGGATGTGAACCCAGATCTCCTGACACTAGATGTGGTATTTGCTCTACTTTGTAAGAGAAACAGTTGGCAAATCTTTTCTGTAAAGGGCCAGACAGTAAATATCCTAAGCTTTGTAAACCATATGGTCTCTGTTGCAACGACTTAATTCTGCTCTTGTAGTGACAAAACAGCCACAGACAATATGTAAATAAAGCATCTTGCTGGGTTCCAATAAAGCTTTATTTACAAAAACAGGTGGTGGGCTGGACTTGGCCTAGGGATTGTGGTTTGCTGACCCTGCTACAGATTAAAACATACAAACAAACCACGAAGGGATTAGGCCCTCAAGCTTCTCCCTTTCTGACTCAGAGGGCTTCTCATCACTGCTCCGTTTACTCCACTGCGTTACGTGCAAGCATCATGGCTTCACTGTTGACTCTTCCTCCAGCACCGCCTTCCTCTTCCTAACACAAACTCCAGCTTCCTCGATAAACACTTGAAAGCAGTGATCAACACCTTTTTTTTAATGTGAAGACCAATTCAGGAAGAATAAAAATGTTTTCCTCTACTCTTAGTAAAAATAGTGTATTGGATCCCCAAATGGAAAAACAACTTAACGATTTCCTGCTTTGTTGAATATTTTTAAGCGCTAACGAAAAATTGGTATTGCTCTTTAGTCACCAAGGTGCTGATATGTGGGCAACAGAGTCCTCTTCCTGAGGCTCCATGCCTTAACTTTCTACAGTGCTGCAGGGTTCAGAGCGTGGCTTCCTTACGTTACTGTGAAGCCCACTGTGAAGCAGGTGTCATTGTGGAGAAACTGAGGTGGGGGTTAAGTGACTCACCCAGAGTCGCAGTTTCTTCCCTTCCGTGTAACACTCAACAAGCACGCACTGTGCTGGGGGCGAGGAACAAGGAACAGACCAAATCTCGCTTCCTGGCCATCCTTCCTCATCCTCCTTGTTGATCCCCGGCCTCCACCTAGACCCACAGACCCAGAGAACCAATTCTGAGAAGATCCTCCTCCTCGTGGCTGCCCAGGCGGCTTTTTCCCCTTCAGGCCTCTGCTTGGTTGAACTGAAAGGTGCACTTGAAATGATATCAGATGCTTTTCTGGAAAACCAAATAGGGCATGAAGCTCTCCAGTCTTGGGCAGCTCAGCCCTGCTTTATGGGATTAATTCTCTCCAGGGACTCATTGACACTATTACAAATAATGATGTTTTTAAATTCTTAGACTGTTTGATCAATATTAAGTTAGTTCTTATTATTTTAGTATGTTTACTACTTGCTCTAAAATTTAGTTTTATATACCCAAATAAATATAAATTCCCTACCGTCTCTACCTCTGCTTCTCTCCCCTTTGAACTGACATTATTTATGATATTCTTCTCACCTGTCCAGATTCTTTCTGCAGTGAGTCAGCACCCTGTGCCTACTGGCCTTTCCTCACCTAGTTTTAAAAAGCGTAATATCTAAAGCAGGGTCCTCACTCGACCCTTCGCATTACTTGGTCATGGCCATTTCTTCAAGATCTGATATCAGCTCTTTCAAGTCCTGTTGGTTGGCTAATTAGGATAGTTGTCCTGATGTTTTCACTGAGCACATAGTTTAGGGCATTTTTAGTGTCAGGTAAGGATTTTTTTCTTAATTCCAAGGAGCTGGAGTCGCACAGTCTGCTGACGGAAGCTCTCAGCCCACTCACCTCTGCAATCAGGTCATGCAGCTCTCCTTCGCTAGGGCAGCATCCTAATGACCTGATGATTGTTCCGATCTCCCTGGGAAAGAGGAGTCAATAGTTTCAGAATGTAAACCCTGAAAAGGCAAGGGCTGTGTTCCTCAAAGTACTGCAGAGCAGACGCAGCACAGCAAACAAAGCCACTCAGTACATGCTGCCTCGTGAGGATAAAAGCCACTTTCCGGGGAAAGGCAAAGGCAGACAAGTGAACCAAAGAGAGAAGAAAGAAGTGTTTGCACTGACTGGCAAAGGCAAGCCCTGCTTGGGTAAAATCAAAAAGTTCTATAAAAGGAGAAGAAAGGAGGGGGGAGTAAGAAAAAGAAATATCAGCTACTTACTAGCTGGTCTTAAGTGTTCGTTAACTCTTTCTTGTGCATGAGGAAGATTTGCCCTGAACTAACATCTGTGCCAATCCTCCTCTACTTTGTATGTGGGATGCCTCCGCAGCATGGCTGATGAGTGGAATAGGTCCACACCTGGGATCTGAACCCATGAACCCACACCACCTAAGGGGAACACAAAGAACTTTAACCACTCGGCCACGGGGCCGGCCCCATAGTTAACTCTTTCGAGCCTCAGTTTCCACATCTGTAAGATGGTGATGGTTTGTAGTGAAGTTCACATTACAGCAGAGACTTAAAAATATGGCTTCTGGTGTCAGCCGCTAGGGTTCAAATCAGCTCTGCAACTTGCTGGACGGCAGGCTCATCTCTGGGTGCACAGACCCACCTGACAGGCAAAACCCAGTGTCCCCCAAAATACTCAGAAGTGGGCTGGGAAGACTCTAAGGATCGAACAATATAAGCCATCATAGCCTAAAGCACGACTCTTGGCAGAGCAGCTGCTTAATAAATATCAGCTCCTCCCCTCCCCCTCCCCCATAATAATGTAACTTAAGTCAACAAATAACCTATGAAAAGTATAAATTATATTCAGGATTCTCTGGATGCTAAAACAGGGGATTTGTAATAGCTTATTAAATATTTCCACTTGAAATTATTAAAATTAAAGTTGTAATATTTGAATGGTAATTTAATTTCACTTAACTAGAATATTTAATTTCTCTACCATTCTGGATAATATTAGTAGTATTATGTTTACTCTCTATTTTACTGAGAAAATTTTTTTCTCCTCTTCTCCCCAAACACCCCCAGTATATTGTTGTATATCCTAGCTGCAGGTCCTTCTAGTTGTGCTATGTGGGTCACCACCTCAGCGTGGCCCAACGAGCAGTGCTAGGTCCGTGCCCAGGATCCAAACCAGTGAAACCCTGGGCCACTGAAGCAGAGCATGCGAACTCAACCACTCAACCATGGGGCGGATCCTGAGACAACATTTTAAACAAGAATTTTTAAGTCCTCACAGTAATAGAACAAAGAATCCTAAAATTTATATGGAACAACAAAAGACCCCGAATAGCCAAAGGATTCCTGAGGAAAAAGAACAAAGTTAGGGGTATAACACTCCCTGATTTCAAAATATACTACAAAGCCATAGTAACCAAAACAGCACGGTACTGGCACAAAAACAGACACACAGATCAATGGAATGGAACTGAGAGCCCAGAAATAAACCCACACATTTATGGACAGCTAATATTTGACAAGGGAGCCAAAAGCATATGCTGGAGAAAGGAGAATCTCTTCAATAAACGGTGTTAGGAAAACTGGACAGCCACACACAAAAGAATGAAAGTAGACCATTCCCTTACACCATGCACAAAAATCAACTCAAAATGGATTAAAGACTTGAATGTAAGACCAGAAGCCATAAACCTTCCAGAAGAAAACATAGGCAGTACACTCTTTGACATTGGTCTGAGCAGAATATTTTCAAGCCCCATGTCTGACCGGGCAAGGGAGACAAAAGAAAAAATGAACAAATGGGACTACATCAAACTAAAAAGCTTTGGCACAGCAAAGGAAACCATCAACAAAACGAAAAGACAACCTAACAATTGGGAGAAGATATTTGCAAACCATATATCAGATAAGGGGTTGATGTCCAAAATATACAAAGAACTAATACAGCTCAACAACAACAAAACCAAGAATTCAATTAAAAAATGGGCAAAAGAAAAAAAAAATGGGCAAAAGATCTGAACAGAAATTTCTCCAAAGAAGATATATGGATGGCCAACAGGCATATGAAAAGATGCTCAACATCATTAGCTATCAGGGAAATGCAAATCAAAGCTACAATGAGGTATCACCTCACTCCGGTCAGAATAGCCATAATTAACAAGACAGGAAACAATAAATGTTGGAGAGGGTGTGGAGAGATGGGAACCCTCGTACATTGCTGGTGGGAGTGCAAACTGGTGCAGCCACGATGGAAAGCAGTATGGAGTATCCTCAGAAAATTAAGAACAGATTTACCATATGATCCAGCTATTCCACTGCTGGGTATTTATCCAAAGAACTTGAAAACACAAAGGCATAAAGATACTTGCACCCCTATGTTCATTGCAACATTATATACAATAGCCAAGACTTGGAAGCAACCTAGGTTCCCATCAAGGGATGAATGGATAAAGAAGATGTGGTACTTATACACATTGGAATACTACTCAGCCATAAGAAAAGATGAAATCTGGCCATTTGTGACAACATGGATGGACCTTGAGGGTATCGTACTGAGTGAAATAAGTCAGAGGGAGAAAGTCAAATACCATATGATCTCACTCACAAGTAGAAGATAAAAACAATGATACAAACACACAGCAAAGGAGAATGGATTGGTGGTTACCATGGGGGAAGGGGGGGAGGGCAAAAGGGGTGATTAGGCTCACGTGTGAGGGGGTGGACTATAATTAGTTTTTGGGTGGTAAACATGATGTAATCTACACAGAATTCAAAATATATTATGATGTACATCCGAATGCTATATAAGGTTATAACCCAATGTCACAGCAATTAAAAATAAACAAATAAATAAAATTGAAAAACAAATTTAAGTTCCTTATTTAAGGAGGTTGTAGGATGAATATCAATTTAAGAGAAAAACCTAAAGTCAGTAACTGTGGAAGATTCTTAATTTTCACTTATTGATTTTCCTTCATAATAAATGAGAGCCAACTAAACATTCAATGTCTTCATGTCAATTATATTTTGCATCTCCTTGAACACCTGAGTCTCAATTCTCCTGCATTGTTTTCCATGCCCATATCCCTCATCGAGGCAGGATCTGAATTGACGGTGTTACTAGAAAATAAAAACATTTTTTTTTGAGGAAGATTAACCCTGAGCTAACATCTACTGCAAATTCTCCTCTCTTTGCTGAGGAATACTGGCCCTGAGCCAACATCCATGCCCATCTACCTCTACTTTATATGTGGGACGCCTACTACAACATGGCTTGCCAAGCAGCACATAGGTCCACACCTGGGATCTGAACAAGCGAATGCCAGGCCGCCAAAGTGGAACACGCGAACTTAACCACTGTGCCACCAGGCTGGCCCCTAGAAACTAGAAACATTTTATAAGATTATACTTTCTCTGAAGATGTCCCTAAAGGTGTCCCATGAAACTGATTAACACCAATGAGGTAAATACGCTGTTGTAACATCCAGAGTGGCTATTGTACACATTAGAGTAAATAGTTAATGAGGCACGGACACAAAATATGACTTGAAAAGTATTCACAGATTCATCCCCTCCATAACCTTCCAGGCCTTCTGCTATGTGAGTCAGAGAACCACTTAAACTCCAGAATCCCAGGGACAAAAGAAAGGCTGCATTAACTTCCATACAAAAGCGAGAGCAGGAAAGGAGGACAGGGAGACCTGGAAGCCCTTACAGGCTGGCATTTCAGGGAGTCGCCTTGGGGAAAAGAGAAGCTCCAGGCCTGTGCTGTGCAATATGGTAGCTGCTACTGCCACCTGGGTGTGGAGCGTGTGAAATGTCACTCATCTGAATTGAAATGGCTGTAAGCGTAAAGTAGACATGGATTTCAAAAACTTAGTATGAAAAAAAGTGTAATATCTTATTAATAATATTTAAGTTGATCACATGTTGAAATCATAATATTTTAGACATATTGGGTTAAATAAAACATATTGTTAAAATTAATTTTACCTGTTGCTCTTTTACTTTCTCTTAATGTGTCTACCAGAAAATTTAAAGTTATGAATGTAATACTCCTTTCGAACAGTGCTTTTGGACATAGCTGCCATCACGAGTCAAGACTTTGAGAAAGGAAGTACGCAAAGAAAAAATTAGAACTACATTGTGTTGTCAGCAACATAATCAATCCCCCTTCTGACTCTCTGCGAAACTTTAAACTATTTAAATGAAGTCCTTTGTCACTGACCCAGGAGTCTCATGTCTTCTGCCAACACCCATGAAACAGTCACAGGCTAACTTACTAACTTGTAAGTTGGGTAATGTCAAACTGCAGACTGAACACGTCTGCACCAAAGGAAGAAAGGGCACCAAAGAAGTGAGGTATACAGAGTGGTTATATACCCCCAAACAGGATGTTTCACATAGGATTGAAATATCCCTTTTACAATAGTTGTGAGACTGCTCTGTAGGCACGGCGATTGATGGAAACAGCAGGTAGGTCTGGTGTCCTGGTGGACACAGCAGGGTGGCAAGTCTGTTGTCTCGAGCTGGGTGGTCACAGGTGAGCTGGGTGGTCAAAGGTGAGCACACCAATCAGTTCCCAGCCTAAGGAAAGATGCTTATCCCTAAGGAAATGCCAATGTGGGGGGAAGTTGCACCTTTATCTTAAGGCCATTTGTTCTTGCCATAGTAAATGTTTTAAAACAGATATGCAATGCGTGCTCAACGGCCACAGTCAGGCCCTTTTGGAAAAAACAAAGTCAGGCCGAATTAGGTTTACACCGAATGGCTTCCTCATATACTCCAATATATCCTATTGCTTGCCATTTCTATTTGTCAAAGTGTATTGGCTGGAAGAAACAAGGATCCAGGAAGAACTCTGAGGAGTAGCCACAGTGAAGGAATGGTCTAAGGAAGAGGAACCTGCATTAGACACACAGAAGAGGAGCTGGAGGGTAAGCGAAAATCCAGGAGA